CCCCCCCCCCCCCCCACTTTTTGGGATAGATTGACGCCCTTGGCTTGGAGTCCAATGACAGATTAATTATCTTGGTGATAGTCGGTAATAACATATCGATTAGGTCGATCACCAGTGGGTTGGCATGGGGTCGACAATTATTCATATATGTAATGCAGTACATAGCAATTCCGAAACAACGCCAATTTTTTCAGTGTAAATAGTATAGGATTTTATTGTTTTAACTAAGGTTCTAGATTTTTAGTAACAATTAGACTGTGTTGAAAAAGAAACATAGACATTGATGTAGTCCAAAAACACAAAACAAGAGTAATGCAAATATTTTGGTGATCACCATTCAGTGATTACATTTATTTATTCTTTAAAGCACTACAATTAAGACTACTGGTTAAAAAAAACAATTAATTATAGTATCCTCAAGCTTAAGCTTGCAAAATACAAAAGTAACTTCTATACCCCTCCATGCATCATTAGGTGAAGAAATGTGAAATATTATGCCTAAAATATCTACTTATGCGTCTTTCGAAATGTCATGAAATGTCAATTAAGTTATCGATCTAAACTAATTATGACAATAATATATGTTCCACACGACTCGACCATCAGTCCAGAAATTTACACGTAACTCATTTGCAGCTGACCCCCACGCCACACGTTCTTTGTCGGTACCGCAGAGCCATCTGGCATCTCTTTGGAGACGCGGTAAATGAACGACGACTTGCCCCTGGCCAGGAACGATTCTCCGCCCACCAACCCACATGTAATCCTCACCACGACACCGGTCCGTTGTGTGTTCTACAAACCTGCACCATCGACCTTCTGTGAGGGGGAACATCAACACAAAACTGAATACCAGTATGATGGCAATCGATGTGTTGCTAAGCACTTTCATTTTCGAATCTGCGGATCGAGTCGATGTTGTCAAAATAAAACTTCGTGTCAGCTATAAGTAATGAAGAAAAACTTTGTTTTCAAGTTATACATAGTTAGGGCACGGTATTTTAATTGATATTATAGGTACTACCCCGTGCCCAAACTGGGTTGGCAAGTGGAGAAAACATTACTGGCCTGGTAATCGAGCTTGTTTATACCTATGGTTTACTAGTCCGACGCTTTATCAATTGAGTTACAACGTCAAGTTGGGAGTAGGGCGTGGAGAGGTGGTATTCGTTCGATAAGTAACAAAACATAAAATGTAGTACGTTTATTCGGCTTGTGACAGTCGACTTCCAAAATTTCAGGGTACAGAAACATAATTACTGCTTTTTAATTTTGAAATGTTTTGACACAAAAAGTTGATACATATATACATATATATATATATATATATACCTCCCGCCTTAAATTTTCAAACGACACGATCGCGACATTTTCAAAATGAGAATCAAGGATAATTTTTATGTGGAATTTATTGTGCAATTTTTGTTCGTTATTGGAACCTAATGTTTCAAGCTTGCCTGTCTGTATATTATATACCCTCCAAGAAATTAAAACACGATAGGTTCTGGACATACCTGATAAAAATGCCTTCCTAGCTCTTTCTCTGCTTCCTCGAGAGTGTTTGCTCAAAGTACACTTAGCTCAACTCCTTGGTCCTTTTTATGTTGTCTTTCAGACCTTGATTAGCATGCCGATGGGCACACAGGTTGAACGGTTGAACGGTCTGCCGCCCAATCGATTACGTACAGAAGTGGGAAAATAATGCGCCGACATTCCAGAGATAATTATCACCATTAATATAGCTATTTCTAAAAGATAGTATACGTCATTACGTATTTATTTTATATTTTCTTCCGAAATACTAAATCTTTTTGCCACGATCGACCGGCTGTGAGTAGCCTACACATACAGATATAACTTGTCGCTTTAAGATATCTATAGCTGGATGATTTAACAAAGTACCATTACTGGACTGGGTAAGGGCACAACACTTGTATGGCCATATTTTAGGGTTTGTTGTTGCGGTTTAGCCCTTTAGTATAGGAGCTGCCGTCACAGCGGCAGCTTAGGGTAAAATTGCGATTTTTCATCACTCCAAATTAATTATGCGTAAGACACACATATTGATTAAGAGTCAGAATTCGTGGACTGAATGGCTTGTGTTCTTAAGGTATGGATATTTGTTCATTGGCAAAATATCCCCCCTCCCCCCCCGCCCCAATTTTTGTGAGCGGATTGTAAAGGTCGGAACCACCTAGCCTTAAATAGTTCACAGGAATTATGTCTACGGGCAATTATCAATGTTTCCAATCCTGCATGTGTGTTTCTTCATAGGACATGTCGGAATGTATTATTGGCAGGGCTCCCTTCAGATTCAATGAGATCCGACCGGTTCGTTGTCAACGCATGCCACGCTGGTGAGGCATGCTCAATACGTATCGTAATAACCGAAGAGTAAATATTCGCGAGATCTGACTCACTTACGCCCGTATTCTCCGAGCTTCTCTCGAGTGTCATTGATGTTTTTGAATAGCTGGAGCGTTAGTGTCATACCTCACTATGTGACTACTCACCTCCCAGCTATTCAAAAACAGCATCGACACTCAAGAGAAGCTCAGATTGAACCTCCACTGATTGAGTGTGAGTGTGAGTGAGCTTTTAGAATACAGCTGTTAGTCTAGTCGTCTCGAGTTGTCGGAGTGCGCAGAGTCTAGATTTTGCCCTCATAGTCGACGCGTGATCGTTCTAAGACAGGTTATAGTCTCTTTGTACCACTTAATATCATTTATTATATCCACCCGAGTTCACTGTTCTACAACAATTTATTGAGTATTAGTTGAAGGATATAACGTACGCATGTTGAAGAAACCAGAATTTGAAGAAACCCTTTTTCCGCATTTTATCCCTTTTTCCGCCTTTCGGAATTGTGTTTCCGAAATTCCGCAGTCCGTAATTCCGGATCCCTGTTTTAACCCAGAGATAGGCATGTTACGCCGCATGCTTGTCTCAATTGGCAATTAACACACTTAGAGCTTACTTGATCATGTTGCGCTATGAATAAGCTATCAAAGCAGGACCGTAGAGGGTTTGTATTTTGAAAACGAACGTTTGAACGTTTGAGTTGAGATTTGCAAGAATTCTACCAAGAAACATGTGACTTTGTGAACCAAACCAAACATGTCGTGACAGAAACCGCCCTCATGCTTCAACACTCTATCTTGAAGTACTTGGTCACGCTCGCTTCAAAAATAGGAACAAATCGCACAGAAGAACAAAGAGACGGGCAGTAAAATTACAATAACATTCTTCTGCACGAAATGTTAGTGATGATCAAAACAACCGCATGCTTTGTATCTCAGCCAGTAATTGAAGAAAACAACAATTCATAAACTGTTTATAGTTATTTCTGCTGCGCGGTGAATAGCTGAGTTTTTCAAAGTTTCAGTTGTCTTAAAATGAACACTAAAAATTCTACTAGGAAACGTTTAAATTAACTTTGTAAGCCAAACATGTCGTGATAGAAGCTGCCCTCATGCTACGAAACTCCAACTCAGAATACTTGGCCATGGTCTCGACAAAACTACACGTTATATACTATGTACGTACGTTAGAGCGTTATTAGCCTACTGATTTTTCCTGTTGGAGAGGACATGATTCTCAAACCGTTAGGTCATATAAAAAAAATTCTTTCCACTCCGAAATATAATAACTAGCTATTCAAGCTAAATGATCTTGTTCCGCTCTCTTGGTTGCCGTACAACTACAGTCAGCTTGTGCCTCTTGCAATACTTGCAATGTTTCTATATTTTCCTTTAATTTAAGTAAGTAACTGATCTGTGGATAAATTGTCCTGTCCTGTCTTAACTCTAACTGAAGCCAGCAGCGCTGGCAACAGAAGACCCCAGAAATGAGACTAAGTATAAATAAGGATTAACCAACACTCCCCCCGCATCTCCTGCTTCAATAGCTTATTCTTGGCGCAACTTTAAAGAGTTTTAAAAATTCTTCTGTTTCATACAAGCTCAGTAAAAACAACATTCGTTTTAACATGCTTAGTTCTTTCGTTGTCGATTTCCATAGTAAAATACAAAAAATCAAGCACAATGGTGGAATATTAAAACGACAAGAAATCATCTGCGCAAACAATTACTGTGTTTTTTTTAGATAGGTACACGCATATACAATGTAAGAGCGTTTACTTATTACTGATTTCCCCTGTTACAGAGGGTAGACTCTCAAACTGAAAGTAATTCTCATTAATTATTCGGTTTCCAGAACGTAACAACCAAGAGACTGAACAAGAGTACAAGATAATTTAGCTAGTTATAGTAAAATATATAAGAGCAAGTACAATGGTCGAATATTGATACGACAAGAAATCATCTGAAAAACATTTACTATAGCTTTTTAAATCTGTATATGTTTCACACACGAATGTCTAAATTACTTAAAAATTTAAACTGTGTGTTTATGTTTATGTCTATGTTTTAATTAAAAATTACAAAAATTCTACCATGCAAGAAGAAAATTTAAATTTGCGATCTAAACATGTCACAGAAACTGCCCTCTTGCTAAAACTGATTTAGCAACTATTACATTTTGCCTTTACTGATGTTGTTGTTTCGGACGAATAAGAGGAAACAAAAATGTTTTTCCCACGGAGTTGAGCCTTAATTAATTCTCTTAATTTAATTACACCTGTTTCCCCGAGTGTGGATTTTGAAACAGAAACTATTTTACCATTAATTATTCGGTCTCCTGAACTTTGAAGACACAAAGCATTATTTTATACCCGACACGTTATTACGGCCCCCTATTACGATACTACAAAGATAATAGGCATGCTGCGCCGCATGCTTATCTCAACTGGCAATTAGAAAATAGCAATTTATAGCATTAGTAATTGAAGAAAACAACAATTTATAAACTCTTTATAAACTCTACTTCTGCTGCGCGGTGAATAACTATTAAAGCAGGCCGCGGAAGGAAGTTTTAAAAATAAAGGTTTCTTAAAATGTACACCAAAAATTCAACCAAGAATCATTTAACTTTGTAAACCAAACATGCCGTGACAGAAGCTGCCCTCATGCTACAAAACTCCAACTCAGAGTATGATCTCGACAATAATACAAGTATACACAATGTAGCCTACGTTAGAGCGTTAATTATTGCTGATTTTCCCTGTTATAGAAGTTATGATTCTTAATCTGAAACACTTCCATTAATTAAGCAGTTCAAAAATGAAGTGTTTAAATACTTGATAAACATGGATGCTGTTACGCACAATTGTAGTTTGTAATTTTAGACATCTTAAGACCTGTTTACACTTGCAATTTCTGCTGCGATTTTGGGTACGGTCTTTTTCTTCTGGCGGGTGGATGCATGAGTTATGAATGTTCAGATGAAGGTACATATACTCAGAACATTCATTGCTCATCTGCTCGTTCCCATGCATCGGGGGAGGAGGGTCGCGCCTAGAATCGCAGCGGGGATTGCAGGTGTAAACGAGCCTTTACATTATATAGCCTTATTTATGCACTGTTACGCACTTATGTTATTGTATATATATACTTGTTATACACTGATCACCGATTGATACCAGCCATCCTATGTAATTGACTGAGCGGTCTTTTTCTATCAGTATAAATAAAGATTTTATTATTATTATTAATTAATAAGTTATCATGAGTCATGAAGGCTTTTCCACCTTTCGGTGATATAAAAACTCTTTTCACTCCGAAATATAATAACTAGCTAAATTATTTTGTTCAACCTCTTATACAGTTACAGTTACAGCCAGCTTGTACCTCTTTCAATATTCTAGATTTTCCTGTATAAGTAAGTAGCTGTAGCTGAACATAGTGAATAAATTGTCTTGTCCTGTCTTAAATCTAACACAAGCCAGCTGGCACAGAAGTTATGTTATATGTTCAGAGTTATTTGTGAGAGGATTGTAAAGGCCGGAACAACCTAGCCTTTAATTTGTTGACAGGGATTTTGTCTACGGGCAATTAATTAACGTTTCCAATCCTGTGCTTCTTCATATATAGGACATGTCGGGATGTATTATCGGCAGGGCTCGCTTCAGATTCAATGAGCTCCGACCGGTTCGTTGTCAACGCATACCACGCTGGTGAGGCATGCTCAATACGTATCCTAATAAACAAAGAGTAAATATTCGCGATATCCGATTCGCGTAGAGTCTAGAGTTTGCCCTCATTACCTTTTGTCGACGCGATCGTTCTATAGGTTATAGTTTCTTAGTACCACTTAATATAATTTATTATGTCCACTCGAGTTCACTATCCTACAAAAATTTATTGAGTATTAGTTGAAGGATATAACGTATGCATGTTGAAGAAACCAGACTTTGAAGAAGCCCTTTTTCCTCGTTTTATCCCCTTTTCCGCTTTCGGTATTGCGTTTCCGAAATTCCGCAGTCCCGTAATTCCGGATCCGTGTTTTATCCCAATCCAGAAATAGCCATGCTGCGCCGCATGCTTGTCTCAATTGGTATTTACACACTTAGAGCTTACTTAATTATGTTGCGCCGTGAATGAGATATCAGAGACCTTACGATTTTAGGACGGCAACGCGACGACGACGACCGTCAAACGAAACTCCTTCCTAAATAAATGGTAGTAAAGATAATATGTACGTCGTATATTATCAATCGTATGAATTTAATACAGTCTTAGAAGTTCACGACATGGGTTTTATAGTTGGGAAGAGTTCTGCAGAACCCAGTTTGAAGTTGCATTTGTTGCGACTTGAAATGCAGCCGTTGTATAAAGACGTGAAAATCTGTGATTTGGCGTTGTAAACAGAGCGAGGACAATGTTTAAATTATTCATATTATATTGTAATTATTCAATTCTTTTCAATTATTTATATAATCATTGTATTGGTAGCCGTTGCCGTCGCGTTGCCGTCCCGCTAAAATCGTAATGTCTCTTTCAAGGCAGCTGGACCGTGGAGGGTTTTGTATTTTAAAATTGAATGTTTGAACGTTTGAGTTGAGATTTACAAGAATTATACCAAGAAACATTTGACTTTGGAAACCAAACCAAACATGTCGTGACACTTGAGAAACCACCCTCATGCTTCAACACTTCATCTCGAAGTACTTGGTTACGCTCGCTTCAAAAATAGGAACAAATCGCACAGAATAACAATAACATTCTTCTGCACGAAATGTTATGGTGATCAAAACAACCGCATGCTTTGTATCTCAGCCAGTAATTAGAGAAAACAACAACTCATAAACTCTTTATAGTTACTTCTGCTGCGCCGTGAATAGCTGAGTTTTTCAAGGTTTCAGTTGTCTTAAAATGTACATTAAAAATTCTACTTGGAAACATTTAAATTAAATTAACTTTGTAAACCAAACATGTCGTGACAGCAGCTACCCTCATGCTACGAACTCCAACTCAGGGTATACTTGGCATGCAATGGTCTCAAAGTGCACGTATATACAATGTACGTTAGAGCGTTATTAGCCCACTGATCTTTTCTGTTGGAGAGGGCATGATTCTCAAACTGAAATAATTCCGTTACTTAATCAGTTTCCTGAACGTCGAAGCGTTAATAAGTTATCATCAGTTATGAAGTCTTTGTCACTTTTCGCAGTCATGTAAAAAAACTCTTTTCACTCTGAAATATAAAAACTAGCAATTCAAGCTAAATTATCTTGTTCAGCCTCTTGGTTGCCGTACAATTACAGTCAGCTTGTGCCTCTTGCAATGTTTCTATATTTTCCTTTGAGTAAGTAGCTGAACAGTGAATAAATTGTCTTCTCCTGTCTTAAATGAAACCATGAGCTAGCATAGATAGTGAAATTAACATAATCGCCAAAAGTAAAGGTTTGAAGATAGCCAACTTAAATGTAAATAGCTTAATGAAACATCTGGATGAAATTCGCTTAATCCTTAACAATAACGCCCTTGACATTCTTGCAATTAATGAGTCCAAAATTGATAATCAGATTTCAAATAATGAGATACATATTGATGGTTTTAATATAATTCGTAAAGATCGAAATAGGTTTGGTGGTGGTGTGGTTCTATATGTTCGCCAAAACATATCATTCTCAGATAGAATAGATCTAATCCCTGATGAACTTGAGATGGTCTGCATTGAATTAAGTTTACCCTACAATAAATCACTGCTAATAAGCACATGGTTTAGACCACCAAATTCTCTTATGAATAAATTTGATTACTGGGCAAGCTTTTTAGCAAAATGTGATAATGAAGATAAGGAGCTAATCCTCATAGGAGATCTAAATTGTGATGTCAGTAAAACTATACCTGACCCTCACACATGTAAGTTGCAATTTTTATGTTCTCTGTATCAGATAGACCAACTTATTAAAGAATCTACAAGGCTAATTCCTAAATCAGCTACACTAATTGATTTAATATTAACAAATAGACCAGAAAATATTTCCAGATCAGGTGTCATTCACCTGGGAATTTCAGATCACAGCCTTGTCTACGCTGTGAGAAAATTTACACTCCCGAATGGAAGGCAAAAAATTCGTCAGGTTCGTAACTTTAAAAACTTTGTCGAAAATGATTTCATTCGGGATGTGTCTCAATTGCCTTGGGAGATGGTCTATCAGTTTGGAGATCCCAATTTATGTTGGCAAGTCTGGAAATCACTATTATTAGATGCACTTAATAGACATGCCCCTCTGCGCCACAAGCGAATAAGGAATAACCCTGTCCCATGGATTAATCCTCAAATTAAAGAACTTATGAGAAAAAGGGACTATCACAAAAAAAAGGCCATAAAATATGATTCGGAGTCACAGTGGGAATTGTATAAAACACTACGTAATGAAGTAAATATAAACATGCGGAAAGCAAAATCTAAAGAAAACATTTGGATACAGTAGAGCAATTCTATGGAATAGTCTGCCGCAAGATGTCAAGGCGGCTGAGTCAATTACGTCATTTAAAACAATGGCGAAATTGCATTTAAGCAGATGATAAGCTAATTTCTCCAGGACCAAATGATGGGAGGACAAAATAGATTGTGGGCGGGAGGGGGGTTAGTTTTGCGTGAGGGTGGGTGGGTACTTGTTTAGGGGGTGGAGGTTTGGGAGGAAGATGATAATATTTTAGGGTGGGTTTCTTACATATTTTGTTCTATATATAATTAACATTTAGCTCTTTGTGTGTATACGCCCTTCGTGGAAACCAGTTGTAAATAATTGTCGAAGTTAGCGTATTGAAATAAAGTTTTACATACATACATAGCAACAGAACATCCCAGAAATGAGACTAAAGCGAAAAGAAGATTAACCAACGCCTCCGTTTTGATAACTTATTCTTGGCGCAATTTTAAAGAGTTTATATTCTTCTGTTTCATACGGTGGTCTATTATAGGGGGTTGGTACTGTAGCTCCGCAAACCGTCTTATTCTTGTCTCTCTCACCGTTAATCGCCCGTATTTTCTTTGTGAAAACCGTATAACCGTCATTTTTCTTATACATGCAATAAAATTTATCGGCCAGAAACTTCGCAACGGTCGACAAGAGGACAAAGATAGCAGATTTTCGTTGAGAAACATTTAACTGCGTGATATACAGTACTGCTCAGAAGTAACCTAATGAAAAACGCGTTCCAGACGCGTTCGATAACGCGTTCCGGACGCGTTCTTGAACGCATTCCGGTCGACGCGTTCCTGACCGCGTCCCAAATGCGTTCCTGAACGCCTTCCGCGAGACATTTCGAACGCATTCTAGAAAGGTTTCATGATTCAAAAGAAGTGAATCGTAATCCACGGCGAGATAAAATTCACGACTAAAATATATTTTTAATATCATCTGATTCAGCTAGACTATAAATCAATCAACGCGTACAACGCTCCTGTCATTTTCAATATTTTACACTTGAACTATATTTATAAAGTGTGTCGCAAATCTTGGCTGTTTCAATAGTTTGAATAACAAGACCAAGCTTACCTCGCAAATGTTGATTAGAATAAACCAGTTTAATAGCGATTATATCATTTTTATTAATTAAACAAATGTTGATCCAGTGCGAAAGATATGGTTTACTCATTGTTTTGATCACACTAACGCGTCAGGAATTCTTGTATATTCCCATTACAATAAATCTCGCGTATATACCAGTGCTAAATCTAGAGCAAGGTTTATAAGAAGGATTGCATACGATGTGATTATTGTAGGAAGTGTGTCTATTCTAAAAATTAACATACGAATATACGTTTTTGAGGTAATTAACGCAATCAAACACTCGGTGTGCATAAATTACTGTACTGGGATTGCCAGTAAACGTGGCCAAAAACAGGTTTCAACTCACTTTTAATTATCAAAATATATGGAAAATTACAAAATAGTAGATTTAGTTAAAACACTGTTTTCCTTCGCACGCCATGATTGCAGAGAGATTATTTTACAACTTTGCTACAACCCAACACACCGGAAGGACTGGGGTCGATGCGATCGCGTCTTAATATCTGAATGTAAATTTCTTTAATGCATTGTTCACTCAATACTATATAATGTCACTGTCCATTCATACACTCTCTTTTGCTTCCGACTTGGTTTCCTGGTCTTGATCCATATCCACTGGTACTAATAACGATAATCGCTGAGCACTTCGTGACACAATGACAGCCTCGTTATGTCCTTTGTATTTCTGTACCTTTTCTCCAATTGGAAAATTCTTGTACATGACATTTACTCGACGAACTTTTCCGTCTTGACTGGGAAACACTTCTTGTACTATACCTAAACGGTAATCTCCTCGCAAGGTATTACGGTCGGCGATTATTACAACATCTCTTGGGCGCAGGTTACGGTTGGCTGTATTCCAATTGCGACGAATAACCAAGGCCGGGGCGTATAACTCCGTCCATTTCTTCCAGAACTCGTCTGTCACGATCTGGACAACACGATAACGCTTTCCTGGATTATTACATTTAGGCTGCCATCCACCAGGATTCTTCGCCGTTGCTCTGCCCAGTAACAAGCTGTTGGGAGTAAGAATGTTTAATTCGGAATCAGCGCTCGGGAGGGTTCCGATATGTCTTTCATTGAGGAGATTCATGGCTTCGCTTTACACCATCATGGACTCTTGGACTGACAGACGTTGGTTATTGATTGAGAAATGAATAGCTCTCTAGATCTTGGCACTCTTCACCAGGGATTCCACAGCTCCTTGGTACCAAGGACTATCAGCAGGGCCCAGGATCCAGGTCAATCGATTCTCTGTGCCACTTTTATGTAGGGATTGTCGGTCAATGCTCTTCCAGGTTTCCGCGATTTCTCTTTCCGCAGCAATTAGTTGTGATCCGGGATCACTATATACGATTTCGGGCCAACCACGAACACTGACGAATCTGCTGAGGGCCATTAGGAATGATTCGGTGTCGTACCCGAACACAGCCTCAACGTGGACTGCTCTCATAACTAGATCTGTGAAAATTACTCCGTACGCTTTACCACTTGTTCTTTTCTGTACTTCTCCACGAACCGAGTAGGTTCCGAAAAGGTCTATCATAACGTGGTTGAAAGCTGGAGATGGTTTCAATCTTGCTTCCGATAGCTTAACACTGCTATTATTAATGCTGAAAAGAATGATTGAAACTTGTCGACATGATCTCAGCAAAATGGCTATGGGTTTCCTTTTTCATATACCCTCACAACTGAAAGGTTCTGTGCTGTGGTGATTACACTGATCTTCAGGGACGTAGCAAAGTATCAGAAGTTGAGGGGGAGGATGGAGGGGGTCTGTCAGAGGATTTCACCTGAAATTTGAACTTCAATGTTAAAATTTATCTGAAATGTAATAATTATATAGAGCTTTTTCTGATTGATTTCCACTGTCCTACTAAGTTTCCGAAGAAAAGGGTGTTATGGAGCTGCCTCCTCCGCGGGGCCTCGTTGTGTCATGGGAAGGTCACGATTTCGAGAGGGCCTGCGGAATCTTGTAAAATGAATAAATGTTGTTCTAAACCTGCTTCGTTAAAGAAGGCAGTTTTATTCGTGCAACGTTGGTGTGGACAACAAACCTTATCGTTAAAAAGTTCTTCCTTAGAGTCGCCATTTTACTTTACAAGTTTCACGCCGCTTTTTTATATCCTGTTTATATTCAAGATTATGTATAAATTTACTTGCTGACGTGACGCCGCGCCGGCGCCATTTCTTTTTACAAGATTCCACAGGCCCTCGCCAGATTGTGTGTAACCTTCCCATGACGCAACGAGGGCCTGCGGAGGAAGCAGGGTGTGGAGGTTCTCCCCCAGAACATTTTGTACATTTTTTATCTCCATGACTGCATTTCTGGCATTTTCTAAAGCAAATTCGCAAACAAATTTGATCTAAATTGACTGTATATTAGAAAAATGGTTATCATTTCACTTCATTATTAAATTCAAAACATTAACCTTTACCGAGTATAACAAATTACAATCGACTAAATTTTTCCACTGTGGTTCTACAACACTTATCAAAACATGTTCCCATTCATACAGCCTGACACAGCGATGCTAACTAAGACAGGGTGAGAGGTCGCAGAAGACTTAAATCTAGACGAGAAATCTAGATAAATTTAGAACAATTCATTGCAAAATTAACCACTGTGAACTTAGCACTTTGTTCGGCAAAAATATCATCATAGTATTCAGCACCATGCTATCCTACAGTACAGCGAATAGTCACGTCAATTTTCCTGGTTCGTTCCAGGCTATGCTCTTATTTTGTTAACATCCACTGTAGAGGTTACACTGCATTGCACAGCACTAAATTTTGAGATAACGTACCAACAGGAACGAAATCCAACACCACAGCTAGAAATAGCATCTTAAAATTAAACTGCAAAGTTTGGTTGCAAAATGTTGTAAAATGAAGAACATATAGCGCTACGAAGTTCGCAAATTTTGTATATATTTGTATTAACGTGGTAAAAATAACCAATTTCGGCTCAAAAATGATTATTTTCCCCGCGCGTATTGTAATTAATATATACAAAATTTGCGAACTTCACAGGGCTGTATTGCCCCATTTTACAACATTTCGCAACCAAACTTTGCAATATTAATCTTTTTAAGATGCTCTTTCTAGCTATGGTAATGGTTTCGTTCTTCTTCTCTCGATCAAAATTTCGCCTATAGCTGGAATCATCCATTAACAGTTAAAAACATTACGCCAATATAGCATTGAGTAATTTTTTCGTGTACCGTAAATCTCCGACATGCGCGGAAACTTGCCGGAAACTTGCCCTGGGCTAATTACCATAACGAAAATAAATATAAACATACAATACATAACACATCATAAAATAAGTTAGTATGCATGTAACAATACGTACTGAGGATGGAGGCCTATCAAATTGGCCGAATTTTAAGTCAGAATCTGCCCGGCCAAAATCTGACTGGTGGGGGGAGGGGCAGGAGGGGGCTACAATCCCCTCCCCTTAATCGTATGCCTATGCCATTGAGTAATTTTAAAAGCATTAGCTTATTTAACTACTCAGTATTTCTTGATTTTTTACCTGTTTTGCTATACAGGTGATGCACGCGCTTAAAGTTTGTGTTATTGTGTATGACATGCGCGAAAACTTGCCATTTCTTCAATGAAATAATTCGTCTGAACATCATGAACATCGTCATTGGACTCATGGTGTTCTTGTAAGCATTCTTCGTCTTGCAGTGCAGTAAATTGTTCGATATCTTGAGCCAGTTGCACTAGTTGTGGTTTGATGTTCTGGCGTTTTGGTTTGAGTTACTTTTAATCTATACTTCTATCAGATCTTGTTGCTTTTTTTCTAAAATGTGTTCCATGGCTACGTTATCTTCAGTTAATTGTTCTGGAGCATTCTGTTGAGTTTCAAGTTGGTCGACAATTTATATTTAGGTTGTGGTCGAAACGTGGGCGTGTGGGCGTTCAGACATACATGCATTTCTTTGTTTATGTTGAAATTTGCTTTTGTTTATTTATTTTTTATTTATTTAATTATTTGATTCGCCTTGTACATATTACAGTGGCAGCGAATCCGCAACAGCGTAATTGCCAATTACTGCGGGCCCGAAATTTGTGCCTAATGTGCTTTTTGTGCCTAATACAGGTCGAAACAATCTTCAATTAATGTTATGTAGAGACTTAATTCCAAGCACAAATTACATCGTTTTGATCCTCCCTGTGAGAATCGAAACATACTGAAGACTTGAATATTTCCTTTTAATTTCCGTGTAGTTATTGTTGCGAAAGTCCAGTATCGCGTGTTATGAATACTTTTCAAGTTATTTTGAAAATATTTAATATGGTTTCGATAAAGCTAGCGCTCTCTGGCTCGCGCTATTCAAAATAATCAATTTTTCAGATGGTTGGCATTCGTCAACAAACTTCTGGAATACATCAACAATGAATATATTTTCTGAGTTTCTGCGTACATTTTGTATATGTATTATATACTGTAAATGTCAGAGAGTTAATACTCTTTATAGCCCGATCGCGGTCAACGTCTGGTGGAGAGCCACCCGCCAAGACCATGCGCAACTCTTCAAAGGATAAGTTCTACAGCTAGGGTGTATAAAAAAAAGGTAATCGAACTTCAGCGCGCTATTGCATCTGAAGTATTCTGCGTATGACCGATATTTTTCATATTCGGAAAGATCAGGCTTTTAGCTGTTGAGTTATTTGTTCTTCATGCGAAATGGTTGACAAATGAGCAAATACGAATCCGATTAAAAGTGTTAGTCAGAGTTGGGTCTAAAACCATTGAAAATTAACCCCCTTTGGACTTAAAGGAATATGGCAATATAAATTAATTTTGTATTATTTGAAAGAACATGATGATTTAAAATAATATATAAACTTCTCTTACAATTATTCCATATCTTGCTTGGTTTACGAAATAAATTTACTTACTTTGATCAAAAGCATCGTGCATTCCGCCATCGTAGCCGGATATGCATTCGATATGCATACGTCACAAGTAGGGTAAAATGTAAAATTTTTATCTTACAAACCACATGACATTATCAATATGAAACTCGATTCTCCGAAGTCTTTTTACTGCTCAATTAACTCACAATATTTTAAGAAACTTTTCGAAGAAATTTAGTCAAACATGAAGAAGTTTTAACAAGTTTACCCAGCTTGTGACGTCATCATAAACTCAGTTAATTAGGTCAATTACAATACCAAGATGGCAGACTGCACACTGTTTTTGATCAAAATATTTCGAAAACCAGGCAATGTAAAGGGTCTTCATATATAACTTTAAAAGTTCTTTCAAATAAGACAACGTTAATTTTTATTGTCATATCCCTTTAAGTTGACGAATTTCACTTCATTAAATTACACACATATTCATAATTATTATCAAGTAGGAATAAATCTTAGCTAAGCTGTGACAAGTTCGTGATTAATTGCTTTAATTCTTTTGTTATGCACTGCTTTAATTAGGCACAGAGGTGAAAATATGCGATTCTGACTCTTATACTTGCTCATTTTTTCTCCTCTTGGCATGAAAAACATGTCATTCAACAGCTAAAAGCCTGATCTTTCCGAATGTGAAAACATTTTGTTCATACGCCGAGTAATTCACGTACAATTGCGCGCTGAAATTCGATTACCTTTTTTAAAATATGGGTCGTTCGTAAACGATTACTATCAAACACATGCCAAATAACAGATTTCTTCAAGGGCGGGTAGTAGCGAAGTAGTTGTTGTTCGCTAGTGTAGCGAACTACAATTTTCAAGTGGCCAGAAGTTTTTGACTACTTTTTTAAAACAGTAGCTGTAGTTATGGCGTACTAGGTACATTTTGCATAAAAGTAGCCAAGTCAAGTTGACTACTTTTCAAACAGCGAATCGCTATTCGCTACTTTTTAAAGTTGTTAGCAACTTGATAGAATAGAATGAAATTGAGACACAGTTTGCTTAAAATCAATACTCAATAGTCAATTTGCGCTCCTGAACACTGTAGTGCTTACAAAAATGTTGCGGCTTTGTGTTTACTGTTGCTGCTCGTAAATCGTTTTGTTATAGGTTACATTACAGCCTGAGTTAGTAGAATGCTCCAAATACAGTAAAACAAAAAAATAGCGTAACGAAATAATTCGCAACATTTTTTAAGCAGTAGCTGTAGTCAGTAGCGAACTACTTTTGTTCAAAAGTAGCAGACATAGTTGTAGTTATAGCGAACTACAAAAATTTTGTAGTCAACCCACCCTTGGATTTCAAAACCATGCCAGAGTTATTCCATATGTTCAAGACGAGTTGGTTGGGAGAAGTATTGTCCATTGTGACTGCTCTCACCAAGCGCATGTGGTACAACACGGGCAACCAACGCATCCAGACATGCGGAGAGTATCATGGGCCAGAGTGCTCAAACAACCCGAAGTAGTACGACGTGAGCTTTGCATTATTGCGATTCATTATTGCGACACCCATTAGCTCTACAGTATATATATATATATAAATATATATATATATAAATATATATATATATATATATATATATATATATATATATATATATATATATATATATATATATATATATATATATATATATATATATATATATATATATATATATATATATATATATATATATATATATATATATATATATATAAACAGCTGGGCATTTTGTACGGAGCATGCGCGAAAAAATCAATATGGCGACATATTTATAGGAGTGCTTCGTGGATTTATCTGGTTTTAAAGCTGAAAAAACAACATTTCAATGAATAAAAACTTTGTAATATTTAGTGGAAAACATTAAGCTATGCAGTCCAAAGGTTTTAAATTAAAAATAAGTACTTTTGCTTTATTTTATTGCTTTTTATGCTTTCAAAATAGGCAAGCTCATTTTTTTTGAAAGAATCTAAACTAATATTTTACCCATCATTTGTTTAATCTGAACAGAAATTGATAGAACACTTGGCTACATAAGTTATAAAGGGAATTGGTAGCTGATCTGAAAGATTTCAGTATTCCTGGTACACATTTTAGCAAAGAATGACTGTAATTTTAAAAATTAAATATGCATATCAAAAACAATAGTTTTTATTAGAACAACACATAAGTTGTTATTTTCTATTTTTACAAAAACAAGTTTGGAAACAGAATCTAGTCGTCCAGTTTGATGTCATATTCCATTTATTTGGATATTTGAATAAAGGAATGTGAAATAATAATTGAAACTTGTCCAAAATTTGATACCAACACTCAAGTGAACAGATACTATCACCTAAAAATAAAAGAAAACAGAACTTAAATTTGTCATATAATGCTATGAAAAAGTCTTAGATACTACAGGCATATAGTGAGCACAATGCTTTAACAAACTCACTAAAATAAGTTAAGTTATGCTATGATAAGAGGATGGCAATATATGACAACATCAAATGTTACCATCTTCAGTGTCCAAAAAAAGTGCCGCGCGCATTTTTCCCAGCATACCCACTAACTTTTCCATGAAGGTTGACTAATAAGGATAGTTTTAAGCCATATTTCGGAGAGAGGCAATGGTAAAAATTTTAAGATATTTTTATTTATATGCCATATCACCACAGAATTTCACAAAGCAAGCATGCCTATATTCAGGATTGCCGTTAGACTCTTAAAACTGAACAAATCAATGCGGCATTTCCTATCTCATAACAACCAATACTTGAACATTTTCAAAAGCATTTTTGCAGCAATTTTTACTTTATAACAAACCAATACAGGAGCAATTTCATAAGCATGTGACAACATGACATTTTCACTTCACAAGTGGATTTGTCAATTACAACATCTAGCACATTTTTCCCATGAATAGCTCAGGTTTTAATAAAACAAAGTATGATTTAACTTTCATAAAATATATTTTCTAACTGAAGGCAACGGCCAGTTTCTACGAAATTGCAAGAGGAATATGTGTCATTTTCATCAAAATATGTATTTTAAGACACTTATTATTCCAGATGAGGAAGGACAAACAAATTATTGAACATACCTGTGGAAACAACAACAACTCAGCTTCTATCAAGAGCAAAATATGAACACTTCCTTGTTTCCATACTGCTGTACCCTGCTTCTGAAACTCTGACAATGAGTGAAACATTTCCACTTGTCGCCCATTTGTAAATAAAAATTCTTCGCACGTTTTCATGCGATTAAGTCGTTATATCGTTGCATACAAGCACTACAACTTAATCTTTCAAGAAACACTTTATTTTCCATGAACAAACCAGTAAAAGAGGACAAAAAATCCTCTCACAATGCATATTTTCAGCGTTCGAAGAATCAAAATGTTTGTTAAAGAAATGCGCCCGCAATATTTAGACAGCGACAACAGAATGCCCAGCTGTTGTTGGTCCGTAGACTTATGTTTTAAAGTTGTTTTTTTTAGTTAAAGAGCAAAGTTCACTTCGGCACGTTCAACTAGTGTCTTCGGCAAGTTCAACTACCCTTCAAACTTTTGCTGTTGTAGGATGCAAAGCAGTTCTAACTATCAAATAAATCGTATTTGCGTTTTTAAAGTCTTTTGATGAAAAACGACTTTTCTTTCGTCGAAAATAAACTTTGACTGAATTTTCCACTCCTCGAAACTCTCCTTAGTCCTTTTAAAAGTGCAATTTCCTTGCACGGTAGGCTTCAGGCAAGTATGCGCATGTTTACCTGAGTTATCGTTATTAGAGTTCACTGGGTTAGCCTTTGAAATAAATATAGGTACGCTAAGTGTACATGCATTTGCGTACGGCGTTAGTGGATTATATGCCAACCAAAGAGAAATCACTGAAATTATCGCAAGGACGTAGGATGATTGATACACTTTAATAGGGTGCCGGTTTTCACGAGGCGCCACCATAATTTCAAAAAACTTTCAAACATGATTTAATTAAGAGATTATGCAATCATCAAAAATAGAAAGCCCTGCTCCTCCAAATTCACCCCTGGGACAGAATACCTTGTCAACAGCAAATATATCCCACGCTCCGCATCTTGTACATCGGTAAATTAAAATTTTACGTAGTTTAGTATAAGATACGACAATAACTAGACAACAACAGTTCGAGGTCTCGACTAGACAATTTATCTTGATAATAAAACTATTATACTAATCTTAAAAAATAGTAGCTTAAATAGTCTTAGCATTGGCATTACCCTCAAAAGTTCCATTTTGTAATATTAAGAAGGTATTACATGCAACGTGAGTAACAAAGTCATTTATTCTTTCCACTGGGGATACAGTAAATTCACCCTTCATTACAAGATATCAGGTGTTAGCCCATGTGTCCAAAATTGTGATGAATACATCTACTGTTATTAATTAAAAATCGTCCTGATATACTGTATGCACACTATTAAAGGTGCATAAGATTCCTTCTGATTCCATACAAGCTTTTGCTCCTGATCTGAAATATTTAATTGGTCACTGACAGATAGAAATCTTTTTTATTCATACAGTTTTATTTTCTAATATTTACTTTTCAGCATTATCCAATAGTAGACACCACTTGATATTAATTATCAGTTGACCAACCATTAGAAATTCTCATACAGCATATCATCCAGTTGTATATTTTTAAAGGTCAGACTTTTCCTTATTTACAAATGAGACAGGTAAAATATTCTTTCAACCAGTAACATTTTCACAGTGATGTAGAGTATACAGTAAAGAGATGGTTAATTTTACCGATTATTATTTTGAGTTTTTGTTCCATCTACAATATTTAAAAAACTAATATTACTATACTGGAAATATGTTATATTCCATGACTCTGTTCTCCACTTCAGCCATATTGTAACATACCATATTGTTTCCTTTTAGACAAATGTCATTAATTCTGCAATAGTTCTGCAGTTAGTTCCCAAAGGCCAAAACAATATGCTACTGTATGTTTCACTACTCGCAAGCCATATTAGCATGTGAATGTGAGGTGAACCTCACTTGCATGTACAATATATAAATTGTTGCCATAAACTAAAATCTGGTTCATAATGGATGTGTCCCAAAAATTAACTGATTTAATTTCATTATAAACAATAGAACATAGTGACATGGCAACACATTGTTTTCCAGCATTAGATCTAAACGTTAATTGATCACCTTGGTGAAAGTCGGCATGAACTGTATAAGTACGGTCAACTATATTTTCATTGATATTTCTTTGAAAGTCTTAATAGCAATGGTACATGGACATAACATACCATCTGCGCATACCATATGCACCCTTCATTATATTTTTCTGTTTTTAGTCACTAGATTTTTAAGACATGGCAAGTAAATTACTTTTAAACAGAACATCATTAACATTTAATTCCAAAATGTAAATTATGGTGTGAACCAATTCTTGAACGATTGATCGCAATCGCTACACTCATATTTCTCAGTCAAGTTCAGCAGTCAATGTTGTTTTGTGTTGCTCTTTACAATATACGGTTATATACCTGCACAAATATGGCAAGGTTGGTTTTGTCTGCACAATGGCAAGTTTTATTTGATTTTGTCAATTTCAGTTTCTATTTCAGCTTCTATTTGATACGTAGACCTCACGTAAGCGCCTGATCTAAGATCAGTGCAAGCAACAATGGGTTCGTTCAACTTTTTGAATGTGTGCAAAAATATGGAGCCTGATCAAATATTTTTGACCAGAGCGGACCAAAATTGCGATGTTTTTAGCATTATAAATGACTAGAGATGTAAAATAATTGGCTTACCAGTATTTGTGATGAAATATTAATGTTTTATTCGCAGATCTGTGGACTGTACATTTAATACTGTATCAATATGCATATCACCTCATGGCATTAACGACAGTTTCCGAAGTAAAGTCGAACACGCTCCGTCACAACTTCACAACTTTTTTTAGCGTGTACATAACGGTTAGCCCCCGAACGGGCTAACCACAAAAATCCATACTATAACTTCACGACGAAGGGCCTTCGCCCGAAACGTCGAAGTTCTGCTTATATATTTCAGGCAGGCGCATCTCCATCTCCACCTACATCGGCACCGACCATTGGAGATTTCATAACTTAGTCAACCATTTGCAAATGATAAAGAAGAGAATCAACTTGTCCCTACCTTGACAACTTCTGCCATCTCCGGTGGAACCTGGCTTACATTCACAGGTATAGGAACCCATTGTATCAGTACAGTTTGCATCACCATGGCAATCATTAATTTCTGAACACTCGTCAATATCTAAATAAGAGATTCCGTAAATTATAAGTAACCAGCTAGAGTTCTATCGGCAAAGTCTAATGTTGGGAAAATGTCTGGGTTGAAGAATTTACTTCGCATGGAAATCAATTTTGATAAATATTTTTTCATGAAACTTTTCATTATAATTCATAAATATGAATATATGCACTGCTCATAGCTCAAGTTCTTTGTGAGCTATATGCAACACATATAGGAAAAAACCTTCAGCATAACTCGAGGCGTAGCCGAGTAGCCCAACATCACCATATCATACCATAAAAGCATGAGACGAGTTTTATTCTTTATTTTTTATAGAAGTGGAAAATATACATAGTATAAATAAGGTTACTCAAAAGATCAACTTTGAAATTCGCCTAACAATCATGTATTCAGTGACATGGGGGGTAACAACAACAACAACAACAACAACAACAACAACAACAGGTAGCAACGGGGGGGGGGTAAAGCAAAAGCACGCAGTAATAGCAGTGTTGTAAGACCAACAATCAAAAATTAATTTATAATATAACATATTCATATTGTCACCACAAGAAATAAAACAAACGTTTGTATGATTGTATTTAGTTCTTAGTCCATTTCACGCAGCCTTCTTCTATCTTCGTGAAAAATTTCACACTCTGTCACGGCCTTGTTGCTTTGCCACGCGAGATTTGTACGGAATGTTTTGAAAGACTCGTAAGCTACATTTTATAGGGTGATAAAATGCCGCATTTTTTCTATTTTGTTTACATATTTATTTTGATACTCTTAGCAAAGGGTTCAATTTATTATTATTGGAATGAAAATGGCTTCGATGGAAGAATAACAGGGTCGAATTGTTTACAACCGACATGGGATGACAAAATGGCGCCGAATTGACAAAGTTGTGGTTTTACCTTGTCGATGGTTAAACAGATAGGATCTGCTTGAAACCTATTTAGAACTTGTTTAAAATGTGTTTGATACCATTCTGTCTGAGCTGCCGTACATATTTGGAAGGATTTCAAGAGATTGGCGATAAACAGCGGAGTAAAGTGGAGAATTTGGCCAAATACGTCCATTTGCAGGAGGTAGGTACATTTTAAATTATTATTTCGGTCACAAAGTATTAACTATAATGTTACAGCAAAGCAGTGATAATATACTTAAATAAGTACCAATTATGTTTCTATAAAAAAGATTTAGGAAAAGGTAATGTAGGTCCACTGCTGTTTATCTGAATTTGTAAGTCACAAATTGACGTTTGACTATGAATATTGTGCATGGTCATTTTCTTGTAAAATATCAATGCTAGGCATTTCACACTTACCAATGACCACCTCTAAAAGCACCATCTCTGAACCGTGAAAGTGAGTGAGTAATATTTCGATTTTATTACAAAATCATCATCAGACTAAAGTCACAATATACACATGGTCTTATATACAAGTTTGCAAGGCATGATGACAGTTTAATGGAAGTCTCAATCAGAACCATGTGTATATTGTAACTTTAGTTAGTCTGATGATGATTTTGTAATAAAATCGAAATATTACTCACACACTTTCTTGTTTGACTCATATTTTGGGTTTCAAGATGCTTATCTTCGGATTGTGTTTTGTATTATATTTTTTGAAATTGTCGGCTGGTATTGGTTTCTGAACCATATAAGCACCTCAGAATAGCCAAAGCGTTTATGGTTTGGTAGATAGCACTATGGCGAGAGTGTTGTTTTTGGCTGTGGTCATGCAGTTTTGGACGTTTCGCCCCGGATTGGGGTTCGGGCGGCGTTACCATGTCGACCGTCATGGTCAACTTGCCCTAAAACAGTTGAGATTATCTGTCCTAAATGAAATGCATACAAACTCATATACAGGTCCTAGACTATTTGGTCCATTCATTCTTACTTTCTGATTTTTTCATTTTAAAAAGCTCTAACTATAGGTTTACTTGTATATTGGCTACAAAGCAGAGAAAAAGCGGGAGGAACTCACAGAAAGAGCATGGCTGTGCCACGGAACACACTGCATTATTACGTCACAATACACGCGCATTAGCCAATCAAATTGTCTGTTATATCCCACTTATATTATAAATTGCTACAAATTGATTTCGATTTACAATTTAAACCAAGAAGTAGTTTGTTGGATAAAATCTATACGTGCATTATAAATTAATCAAACCAAGGAAACAATCCTACTCCCCAGTCAATCAGTATGCCGGCCAAGCTTGAAAAATGTGCCTGGCCACGGTGGGAATCGAACCTACGACCTTTGGAATACTAGCTCACTTTGGAATATTGGGTAACATCACAAGCATCATTTTCACCATCCCAACGCAGAAAAAATTCATGAACAAGGAAATTGTTAGACTGATTAAAAGCGTTCTATTGCGAAAGGCATACATGCACCAAAATTTCATATGTTATGAACATTTCATAGTTAAAGTTAATAAAGATATTTCTCATACTCTTGCAATTTACGCCATCTCCGCTGAAACCTTCACGACACACACAGGTAAAAGAACCAGTTGTATTAGCACAGATCGCATCAGCATGGCAATTATGAGATCCAGCAGCACATTCGTCAACATCTAAAATTAATTATAAGATATATTTCATACAATCCCAAGAAACAATATCAATAGTGGTCTATCGTCGTCAGAGTAAGGCCGTAATCAAAAATATAAAAACCAAGAAACCAATTTCTTGGATGTTATTCACCCTTTTCGGCCATTTTAACTTAACTAACCACCCCACGGAATATCAAGCACATTTAATCTATTACTATATATTTATGATCCAGACATATTTCGTGCATCTTCAGACCATTCTGAAGGAATATTGGAAAAGAAAATCAGTTTTTATCCTACCTTCACAAACTACGCCATTTCCAGTGAAACCTTCCTTACATTGACACGTGTAAGAACTATTTGTATTAGTACAGTTCGCATTATAATGGCAATCGTCGCTTCCCAAAGCACATTCATCAATATCTAAATGGGGATATATTCATTAGCAAAATAAATAGAATAGATATTTTTTTCCATTTTCACTATAGAGTTGTTGGCAGTGACTACACTTGACTTATGCTAGATGATTCTATATCACTTGTAAACTGTTTTTCCAAGAAGGTATCTAATGGCCATCTGACAAATGGAATACAACAACAAAATAACCATGCAGACTGACTGTCATGAAGGACGGTCATGCGCTATCCAAGGCTTCAATCTGGCTACACGTGTAAACAAGTTGTATTCGCACTGTTCGTCCCCAGTTGCAAGAGCAAAATGTTATCATCTTGTAGGAATAGTGGTGAGGCCAACAGACTCGAAATAAGTTGTTCCAAAAAGTCTGATATCGTCGGCATGTGACAAGTTGTTAACAAGTTGATGACAGCAAGCTCATAGCAACTTGTTACGAACAGTCTGTATTAGTCTTGTTGAAATAACTCATAGCAAGTATGTTACCGTAATCACGACCAGAATTAGTCTGACGATGCTTTTCGAAATAATATCGAAACATCACAAACTCATGCTCGTCTTGACACATATCTTGAGTTTCAACGAGCGTCACAAGTCAAGTACAAAATTTTGTTGTGAATGGACTTTAAATACAGTTGTCAACCAAAATCAATCAATCAATTGATGCGCCCTATTAGTAATGAAACATACACTAAACATTTGAAACAACATTTCATATCTTCTGAACCTTCACACAAATGAATATAAAAAAGGACTGTCATTAAGTATTTCTCATACCATCACAATTTACGCCATCGCCGCTGAAACCTTCACGACACACACAGGTAAAAGAGGCAGTTGTATTAGTACAGTTCGCATCAGCATGGCAATTATGAGATCCAGCAGCGCATTCGTCAATATCTAAAATTAATATAAGATAAACAGCGGGTTAAAAGTACAACCCAGGGTTAGCGCTAACCCAGCTTGGAATAACCGGTCCCAGCAATTATAAGACAAAAGAGAGGTTATTGATCACCAATTTCTATCTAAACAATACGTGTCTTTTCACAAGAGCAACGAGAAACTGTATGCCAGAACCTCTTCTAACACGTCAGCAAAACCAGCTAGTGATCACACCAACATGCTTGTCATTGGCCTCAATTAAAACTCAAATTGAAATTCTCCAATAAGAAAATCACATGTGTACAATGTATCGAGAAATTTAAGAGTGCAGATCGACAAAAGTAAAACAAAGTTACCCTGGAGCGGCTGATATAGTTAGAGTAAATTATGTCAAGCTACTACTCCAGCGAAATGCGTACAAGAACCTTGCTGGTCGGAAAACAATCGATCGAAAATACGAGGAAAAGGTTTATGACATTGAGCGCTAAAACTCATTTATACGATACGAAAAATCTCGGGTTCTGTAAAATCACCCATGCACTATAGCCATCTCTGTGAAACAGAGATGTCTTGTACGCCTTCAGAATGAAGTTAAAAAAATAGTTTTTCTCCTACCTTCACATTCTATGCCTTTTCCGGTGAAACCTTCCTTACATTCGCATGTGTAGGAACCAACTGCATTAGTACAATTCGCGTTGCCATGGCAATTATTGCTTCCGGAAGCACATTCATCAATATCTAAATGAACGGTATATTCAAAAATAGCATAAGTACAATTCTGATGCCTTTTTACCATTAGAGATATTTTTCTATTTTTACTAGTTGTTGGGGTGAAAGAAAATAAATTTTCAATCAGCTAGTTAGAAACCTCAAGTATTGCCAAAATAAGGCAGACCCCACAAATATGTCAAAGCTCTTAAGTGGCATTCTCGTGGCCTAGGACAAACTGCTGATTAGTTGATCCAAATTGAAACCTTTGAAGTGCAAGTCAACTATAACATAGACTTGCGTACTAACAGAAAAGTTATTTTCAGCTATATGGCATCCTCGCGTCACTGATCTAGTTCCCAGTTCTTTTTGAGACAATTGTGAAGCCGAACAATGTTATATTTTAAAGTACTTTTCATGGTAGTTATATACTGTATATTAGATTCGGCCAATTTAAATTGTGAAATTGCTACCTAAACGTAACAGGGAAGATGGCATATAACGCCGATTATTTTTACTGTAGCTAAACCATGTGCAAGAAAGATTATAACTAAACAATTTACGAACATTAACTTGAATCATCTGCCAAAAGAGTCCAGGGTGGCAAAATTCCCTCTGGCAGGGAACTAACCTTCAGGGCTACAGTTATATTTTCCCCAATTGCTCCTGCAAGTTCAATAAATGTCGAAAATTATAGTCGAAATTTCTGTTTCTGTAAATCCCTTCAACAATCATATAGAGCTCAGTGCATTGCATTGCATTGCATTGCATTGCATTGCATTGCATTGCATTGCATTGCATTGCATTGCATTGCATTGCATTGCATTGCATTGTATTGCATTACAATACATACTTGCAATATTGTTTAGCTGAAAAATGAGTAAGACAATTGTGACCTTTAAATAACTCTATAGGTTTGAATCTGTGATGCCGGGTCAGGTTACTAGGTACATAACTGGTGGGTCATTCCACGCCAAATCGACTAAACTTCCTGCACAAGCACTACAGATTTAGTTGGTTTTTGGTACACTTTTAGATCATTATATAATTAGAATTTGTGTGAATTTTCGCTAGATGACATTAAGTATTTCAGGAAATATAAGCAAAACACTGCGTGATTGTCAATGTCGGATGTCGCCATTTTTACAGAATTCGTAATTTCGGCATAATTCGCACATCAATATCTCGTTTATCACTCAACATATAAAGACAAAAATTGGTAGAGTAATAAATCTGAGACTGCTCTCCTAAACCAATACATCGTTTAATGTATGTGATGAAGGATGTCGTAAATAACGGGGGATCAACATACTGGCAGAATGGAAAAAATACAAATTCGTCGTAGATTTGAACTATAATATCTTGGAAGATATCTGTCTAGGTACATTCATGTTATCCACACATAAAAACAAGCCTTCAAAGAATTCTTGTTAGCAATACTAGCCCGTTATAATTAGTCAGACGTTAAAAATACCGATTTAAATTGCGGCAATTTTTGGATGTGTCTTCTTTTCGACGAGGGAAATAAGCATGTGGGACTAATCGGACAACCCCAAAATTTAACTGTGTAAAAGTAAATGTTATGGTAAACCTGTGGTAGAAATTTCATTATTGTCCTCGGACTGGTTCGATATTTGCGAGCGATCTAAAAATTGGTATTTTTCACTAATTGAATTCATTCAAATGTAGACAAACAAATTATTATTATAAATTAATAAATAATAGTGATTTATTAACTAAATTGACATTTATGTCAATTTCACCAAAATAGACGAAAGTCATACAACATATCACCAAAATGTTGAAAGTACTGGAGCGAAACATACTGTACTTCTATGACTATCTCTGTACGACTATATGAAGCAGTACTGATATATCGACTACTTCTTTATAAATAACAATTACAAAACGCGTCCAAATTGTACGCACACACGCTGACACGCATCACAAAATGTATTTATATATATAGTGATTACATTATTACACAATTGTGATGTCATGACCATACTTAGTGACGTAATATATAAAATAAAACGTTAAGTGCATATATATATATAAAATAAAAAGTGAATTATAAAAGGTACGTACAGTAAGCTAAATATTTGAGAAATAAAGAAGATTATATTGCTGAATAATTAATTAATTATATACGTCGAATGGCAAGCGCCCCCATGCCCCCCCCCCGGTTCCTACGCCCATGACAAGTTTATCCAAACGTTTACATGCATCAGAAGAGGAAAATCGCAGCAATAATTGCAAGTGTGTAAACGACGCAAGCGGTAGTGATACAACATTGCAAGAAACGTCGATTGATCGACTTTTACTTCAAGTAAATTTTCAAAATTTTGTACAAGATTCAAAGTTTGTACAAGACGCTCGACAGGCGTTCTCTAGCTCCATCTACGGGTGAACTGGGGTATTAAGGGGAGTTCATTATTTATGGTTTGGGGGGGAGCGGCATTTCACACCTCCTCCTTCTCAATATCTACATGACTCCCCTCTCGCAACGGCAAAACTCACATGACCCCCCCCCCCGCCCTACAGAAAAGACCAAAAACCTTTATGCCCCCTGTTTTATATAAAACACAGTACAAATGTATAAATATGGTATGTACAATATTAGTTAAAAAATTAAAAAGTCTTTATTTTATGACGTTAGTAATAGTGCAAAAGCTCCTGTAAACTTGCAGCCATTTAATAATCAAAATTTTTATGTTCATGTTCTACCGACACTTTAGCGAGGTCAAAACTTTGCCAAAACTAAAACTTTCATGACCCCTCCCCTCCTCAAATACTCCTCAAACTCCGATGACCCCCCAAAGAACAAAAAACACATTTTTTTGCCCCGGCCCCCTATGATTCCCCCCCCCTAACCATAAATAATGAACACTCCCTAGGGAACAGCTGATCTGCAGTACTATAAACTGTAGAATATAATTAGCCTAACAGCTATTATTTAGTTGTTACTAAGGTAATTCGGCTGTGCGCAATTTACTCTAGTACATTCATAAATACATAGTCGAAAAATATTAGATAGCTTTAATTAATATTAAGACAATTAGCATCCTGATGAAGTCACTTTGGCGTGATTGACATTTGACATGCATATAAATAACAAAGAATTATATTAATATTGTTCATCAGGCGATATATATGGACGGTATAAAGACTCAAAATGAATGTTTTACATCAATGATTTCTTGCATTTGTGTCTTTTTGGCAGACATAGAGATTACTAGAAAAGGACTGGGAGATTGATAACAAAATCACCGGCTTAGTTACTGCGCTTCATGCAATTCAGAATTTGTTTGTTTACATTTGAATTCAATTACTGAATTAGTGAAAAACACCAATATTTATGTCGCTCGTTAACATCGAATCAGACAGAGGACAATAATGAAATTTCTACCACAGGTTTGGCGTAACATTTACTTTAATACAGTGAAATTTGGAGTTTGTCCGATTTGTCCCACATGCTAATTTCCCTCGTCGAAAAGAAGACACATCCAAAAATTGCCACAATTTAAATCGGTATTTTTAACGTCTGACTAATGATAACGGGCTATTATTGCTAACAAGAATTCTTTCAAGGCTTGTTTTTATGTGTGGATAACATGAATGCACCTAGGCAGATATCTCCCAAGATATTATAGTTCAAATCTACGACGAATTTGTATTTTTTCCATTCTGCCAGTATGTTGATCCCCCGTTATTTACGACATCCTTCATCATATACATTAAACGATGTATTGGTTTAGAAGAGCAGTCTCAGATTTAGTACTCTACCAAATTTTGTCTTTATATGTTGAGTGATAAACGAGATATTGATGTGCGAATTATGCCGAAATTACAAATCCTTTCAAAATGGCGACTTCCGCCATTGACAATCACGCAGTGTTTTGCTTATATTTCCTGAAATACTTAATGTCATCTGGCAAAAATTCACACAAATTCTAATTAGATAATGATCTAAAAGTGTACCAAAAATCAACTAAATCTGTAATGCTTGTGCAGGAAGTTTAGTCGATTTGGCGTGGAATGACCCTGGTGTGTAGGAAGGCACAGTGTATGAGAACGTGAAATATAGCGCAAGCCATGTCCAGTGTGACGTGAATCTCATGCGGAGAACCACTCTCTCGGATGAGAGCCGGTTGCTTTGTTGTCAGTCTGATGATTGTCCTTTTGGTGTTATATTACTGATGGATGTCTTTCCAGTTTTAACGTCATGCAGTTCAAATTTGTCGACTTAGTCAGAGGCTGAAGTACAAGAGTGCAACGCTGGAGGCTCACCACGTCTTCGTCAAAAGGTTTCTGCTAAGATTGTGCCTAACATCTACTCAGTGATGTCTAACAGTGGGGAAAGATTGTGTATTGTTGACCACATGTTAGTGGTTTGTTACGAAGTTGTAATAGTTTGATAACACTCCCAGTCCCGTAGGTTAAAATAATAATTATGTCACGAGGCTTTATTCAGGTAGTGTAGTGAATCGTTACAACAATCTTAAATAACTATATCAGTTTTTAATATAATGTTCGTCTTCTCGTAGTAGTTTCCTAAATAAAGTTCACTTCATTTCACTTTACTCATCAGTCTTCACTTTACTTCGCTTTACTGATCAGTCCTGAATTTGGGTTGTGCACGCCCTTTTATACTAACGGTTGAGGGATCTTGCACACGTGATGTAGCAAGTGGTGTGATTTGAATCCAGCCAATCAACGTTGAGGTTTAAAAGTGTGGGTTGGCGTTGCTAGCTCGTTCCAGCCCTCAAATTTTGTGTATTTAAGGCGTTGTCACATGTCAATCGATCAATGTTAAACTATATTCACAACTTAAAATACTTATCAAAATATCATAGTAAAAACTTCAAACTATACCTATGTGAACCTTACTTTACCTACTAAACCAAATTTACTTACAATTTTATTGAACCAAGATTTTGATGACGTAATGTTATAATTACTCAACCGCGCGAAATATAGCGAAGAATGATTGACAGAAATGCCCTAAGCATGCATACTTTGAATTATGTAAACACAACAGCCCACCATGCATGCAAGGTTATCGTCCAACTTTGACAGTTTGACAAATTATTTATCCTGCCTAATGGACAGATAATTGACACTTTTACGCAAGTCCGAAATTATATATACTTTATCTGTTTTTTACAGCAAAAATTTCATTATCTCTCCATTTCACGTAACTAGTATCTATAATTACCTGGGGTGCAAACTGAACTATTTTTATCATGGCGAAGGGAGAGAGGGCGTAGAAACGGCCATACATCGAGCGGACCGACCCATCCGTGATGCGGGCTTCGCGGGGGGCAAGACGTTCTAATTGTAAACAAATATGGCTACGCGTATATGACCCATCAGAAGGTATGCTGAAACTATTGCTTTATAAAATATTACTTGCGTAAAATTTATATGTTTTTGTTACTTTTAGCTATTATAAGAAACTTAAAGATAAGATTTAAGTAACCAAAAACTTTATTTCGAGTGTTATTTTATTTCTATTCTCTGTTTAATTTGGTGTTTAAAAATGGCCGTCGAGATGTTGTAAGAGAGTGTTAGCGCGCACTGCTTCCTGATAAAAACCCAATGATTTCCAAAACCTAAATTATAATTTGTTATTAAGTTATGATGAAAACCTTTGCGTAGACAAAATTATAGAGTGATCAAATATGAGACAGATAGGTTTTGAACCTTTCAAAGTTCGATGTCGAATTGACAGTTGAAATAGTACCAAACTCCAAGCTGAAATGTGCAACTTTATCGTGTATATTTTTGTCAATTTTGTTTACTGGCCTTTGTTAAATTCACTTGCAATGGCTCGACATAAGTTACAACATACAAACTGAGCAGAGCCCATGAAAAAGCAATCCATACCCCTACAGTCATTCAGCTTCCTTGCTATTTAGAAGTGCATGGTTGCCCATTAGTCGAAGAAGAATTGCTATTGTATGCGCTTGTTTGCACTTCCTTTCCTAAAAAAAGTCTACAATATTAAGGCTAAATAGCAGAAAAATATGACCCAATAATCCATGCAATTAAAAATATCTATCAAATTAACTTCAAAAATCATGACCATATATCTATTCAGGCAACCCATAATTTAGTGACAGGTCTTGGCAAGGTGAAAGCTGAAAGGAACCCTTAAAGGACATTGGCAACGAAAATTTTTATTGGCTATTTCAATCCTACTTGACAACCGAACTATGAAAATATTATCATTTCCTTCTTGAACATTTTAGTCTACGAGTAAAATGCATGCAAACTTTGTGTTTCGGCCAGTTTCGCCGCCATCTTGGAAAATATTTTTGAAAAATTATCTCGAAGGTCAATGAACTTTGTGACGTCATTGGCTGGGTAGCACCAAAACTACAAGAGAGAATTCTATTGCGTGCGTGTTATGTTAGCTAAAAATATGTCGTTTTGAGCGTTATACTGGCCAACACTCTTCGCAATCAAACAAGAGAAGTCTACACTATCAGATAAAAACATATCGAGCGACTGGGAAAGCAAGAAATGGCGCAATTTACAATGCAGGTAATTGATCATAAAATATTGCATTAGTATTTGCCTTGTTACACTCGAATTTCTGCGCTTATTTAACACGGAGTAGGATATATACTATGAGAAATAGTGTTACAAACAAGTTACATACTTGGTAAAACTTTTCTGCCTTTTGTTTTGGTTCAAAATGCACTACACGTGGCAATACACGGTATTGTTTATAGTCATGAGATTGTGTTTACCCAGCCAATGACGTCAGATAATGTGTTTTGTGGCATAAATTAGCATACGCGCTTATTTTCAAAATGGCGGACAACTATTCAAATTTTCTCAAATTCAATCAAATTTTCTCAGCAACTAAACGCGACAAACCGGCCAAAATATGAAATTAAATATTCCGTAAGTATACCTAATAGATATAAGTAATAAAAATTTTGGTTGCCAATGTCCTTTAAGATGGGTGTACTACAAAACTATATTGACTGAAGTTTTGGAAACATTTAACTAAATTTTGAAGGATTGACTTGCAAACTGTGATTCAGTATCATGGAATTTTACACTTCTGGAGAAGTTGTGGCTCTGTTAGTGCCATTTCTTTCATTGTTTATATATCTTGCTTTTAAGCATTGCTCGCTTATAAAATCTTTCAATTCCTTAGGGCCTGTTTATATGATCCCGCCTAGATGGGACGGGACGTTTTCATCCCGCCAAGACAGGATACTCGCCTAGTGTTTATATGGACAAAATACATTGCCGGGATGAAACCATTCGGTGCTTGACGTCATATTTTTGTTGCAATAAAGGCATTTACGCATGCCCAAAAGGGAAAAATTCATTCCGCCTAACCGGGATGAAGTGTTTATATGGGAATTTTTCATCCCGGCTAGGCGGGATGAAGTGTTTTTATATGGGAATTTTTCATCTCGCTTAGGCAGGATCCCGGCATCTGTTGCCGAAATCCAGTCTAGGCGGGATAAGTGGCGGGATCATATAAACACTCTTTAGCATTTGTATTACGAGCGGGATCTCGGTAAGCATCCCGTCCGCCTGGCTGGGATCATATAAACAGGCCCCTAATCTCATCCCATGATACTGAATCACAGTTTGTAAGGCCCCATTTACATGAGACCAGGATGAAACCAACCTGGAATGAAAATTGAAATTGCATGTCAACATGTTTACATGAGACCAGTATGAAAATCACAAAATTTTCAATTTATTCCCCTTGCCAGGCAATTTTCTTTTTTAGATGACTTTTGTTAGCATGTGTTGTTCACTTGTTCCAATGTCAACATTCATTCCAGTCTGAATTCATACTGGTCTGAC